AAAGAGAAGAGGAGGGGTAGACCCAAGTCCGTGAGCAACAGCTATCGGTTATCGCGTTCGTGTCCGACTAGGCAGCCTCTTAGGGAAGCAAGAGAATGGAGAGATCGACCGAAGCCTGAAGGCTGTTCTCTCCTACTGCAACTGTAGTCCCGGCCGTCTGCTGTTGGTGGAAAAGGGGTTGCCGACCGTGCCAATGCCTAAGCGAGGCGGGGTAGGAAGAGGAGAAACATCACGAAGATGAAGGACCCCAACCAGGGATGGAACCGAGAGAATCAAGAAATAAATCAGGACCTCAAGGGAGAGGGGAAGCGAGCCCACCTCCTGTAGCCGAGGCTAGATGGAGGGAGATGGAGGGGGGTGGTGGCGCTAGACGATGAAAGCCACGATTGTAACCATGGTGTTGAGTTTTCAATCGTCAGAGGTGTAGCGGAGACGGAGGATGATTTTTGTGTAGCAGAGACGGAGGATGCTTAAAAAAAAAAAGCTCGGGAGGCACCTCGATATTTATGTTCCGCGTTTGAGTGGTCGCGGCCTACATACAATCCCTTTACTGACTATGTACCTGCCATAACAACGCTTCAGTGTTTTAGGAGTGCGAACTCCATTTGACCCTGAAAACTAACTTCCCCGCTCTCTTCCTGAGTGGAGTGATCAGCTCCGTCAAAGGATTTATCAATGACTCTTCTATGTACATAGCTTAGAGTGCATGACGAAGATAACTAACTCGACCAGTGAGTAGTTAATAACCAATCGTAACTAGGTCTTCCGGATGACTCTAGCTTACGTGAGCTGTAGGGATATGCATATTACTTCTTGTAATTGCATATAGACTTGCAGAGGTTGTAGTTCCATAACTGACCGACAAATCTGAACCAACTAAGTCTTATCTTATAGAGCAGAGCTCCTTCTGTGTTATCCAGCGAAAACCCCTCGGTCGCATGCCTCCTATCTCTGCGGAGCGGGCTGCATAGATGCCTTTTATCCTATCATGCGCTAATATCTTAGCGCTACGAATACTGTGGCGGGGCCCGGAGTCGAACACCTGACCTTATACATTTAGTCACGTGCCACACCGATTACCCTTCAATGTGTAACAATTAGTAACTTCGCAAATCACCTCGTGTAGGAGCTATAGTTCTACGTAATCGTGGGCAAATTCCGCAACCGAGATGGAAGGGGCTTTCTTTGATTCATTGGGAATGTCCTGGTCTTCTTCCACTGAGGGGTCTGAGCCATCTGAAATGCTTTGAGCAGAAGCATTGTCGTTTGTAAAGAAATGTGCTGCAAGGGTTAGGTCTTTAAGGACCAAACTTCTATAGTTTGAAGGGACTTCGAATGGTACTGCATCAAGTAGGATTTTTGCACTTCCTCCACCAAGGCACCGGGTGTCAGCTATGACTGAGGCCCTGAACAGGGCAGCCTCCAATGGGTTGTCATCCAGCCCGAAGCCGCTATCCGAACTCGAGGGTTCTTCTTCAATCATGACTGCTAAAGCAGCCATGATGAGTTGACATCGGTTCAATCAAGGAAAATAAAGAGGAGAGTTAAGCAAGAAGCTCGCTTAATGATATACTGTAATGGGGGTTCACTCAGGTAGATAGTTCCTAAGGATGTGACAGCACCGAACTTCGAATCTCTCGGACACAGCTCTTATGAAGTGTAAAGAATTAAAGTAAAGGGTAACACTTAATATCGTTAAGCTCTGGCTTATCCTAATTAAAGTCTCTCAAGAGGGTATTGATTGTGTCAGGGTAGGAGAGTTCTCGTATAATCTTTAAGTAGTCAGACTTGTACCCAAAGCTCCCCTATCAGGTTACCCTGACTCAGACGAGTATGCTCTTCTCTGTAAGGGTTGCCTGGCACCTTTACCGTGTCCCCGAAGGGCCTTAGGTCTCAGCGCACTCTAGCAGAAATCTCCTATATGCATATCAGTTCCTGTGAGGTGTTTACCAATACACCTGCTAGAGTGAAAACTTCTGCGCATTGGTGTCTCGCCAGTTGCTAACTGTCGAGCTGCCTAGGAAAGCTAACTAAATGACTCTCTTTCCATGTGCTATGACCTATGCAAGCACTTGTAGACATCACCTGTCTTCCGGTTAAGTTCTATCTATCTTGACTGTGAAATTAGAAGGTCTACAACGCTCCTGCAGAGAGCTGTGGTGATGGCAGGACTGTGGGTGCTACCCATAGTCCCTTACCCCCAGCACACCACTTACCATGATAGGTATCATGCTATTAGAGTCCTCAAACAACCCAGAAAGACCCTACAGCAAAAGGGCACATGTAGGCTTTATTGGCATAAAACCTTCCCAGATGTCTCCAGCACTACCTGGGACTACTCTGGGGACCCTTCTGGATAGCTCATGCTAACTCTGTCAGTTTTGGTCCATTTTACTCCATTCTTTTTGGAGAAGGTACTTGACCTTCTCCCCTTGGCCCCCTTATATATCCTGCGAACAGCCCCCAGTCGGACGGACAGCAGTGACATACACAGTGTTATGGCCATGTTTTCATAGACTCCATTTAACTAGTATGACAGCAACTTTACCCATTTTGGCCCATAACGCCCGGGGTGAACCCTAGGGCCGCAGGTACCTGTTAGGAATAATTCTGCCAAGTTCCAGCTTGTTGGGAGCACTATAGCTCCTCCTGTAGCGTTCCGATCAATGTGCAAGCAAGTGCCCATCGATCGTTATTGTGTAACAAACAATCCTAACATTTCCCGAAATTTCTCTGAGAACATTTCCAATGGAAGGTAGTATAATAGTGTCCCAAAGGTAGGGTAAGTATGTCCATGGTGACAACAAACTAGTCTCCATGGCAGGATAATGTGACTCTCCTAGACTGGGTAAACTTACCCGGCCTTCTGACCTATCCTTGGGTCACAGCGGACACAGTCGCATTACTTCCACTACTTAGGTACTCCTATCTCATAAGTACCTTCTTTTCCTTGGGATATCTGGACCATCAGATATGCCTCATATGTGAGCCTGCATGCCCACCTAATCTACCATCCGACCTAATAGTCTTATGTATGGGCGTAGACTCAGGTTGCCATAGCTCTTTAACTTAGAGTCTTTATAGCCTAATACCTAGTCACCTGTTGGTATTTCCTGGCTTTTAATTATTGGTACACACTCTTCATACCATACCTTACAATTCATTGATTCTGCTTTACATATAAGATTCATCTTTTGTGCTTTCTAAGCTGCTTTACTGGTATCCACCTGCTCCAGCCCTCAGATATTGGAATATCTCATCTATTAGAATGATATAACAGCAAGGAGGTTAGTGACTAGACTAGAGCCTACCTATATCAAACTATTAGCAAGGGAGACCTTTTCTGCCTCTGTTAAAAAGCATGCCAAAAGGCTTTAGTAAATGTTAATATCAAGGCTGTCATTGTAGCCACTGGTATTTACCTATTTCCCTACCTTATGCCTAAGTTCTTGAAGTTATTAATAAATCCTCCTTTCTACTCTTTCCAGTACTCAACTACTATCAACTCCTACAATTCCTCCCCAGTGCATCTCTGCTACCTGCTTTATTTCCTCCTTTACTCCTTCTCAAGCAGCATTCACCTACTTTCCATCTGAGACTACGAAAGAGGTTGCATATTTTAAAAACCTCTTAGGAGCCTTCATATAACATTAATGTAGTTCATAAGATTGAAGTCGAACTTGCAACAACTGTAGGTACAACTTTGGTAGCTGTAACTATTACAGAGGAAACAGTTAGAAATGATTTTCTCTGCTCTAAAAAAATACCAAATCTTACTGCCAGCATATCTGTGAAGCTGTCTTGATATCTTGCTCCTATTTAGATAAGGCTTGAAATCTGTGGCTTCTGAAAGAAGCTGAAGAAGTGAAATGAAAAGAAAGAAAAGCAGTAAGAGTGAATAGGCAGTTTCTAGGAAAGGGAGAAATTGGGTCTTCTGGTGTGAAAGGTAAGAGAGCTGCTTGTATGCTGGAAGATTTATCTCTGAGCAACATCACTGCTACTAGTAGTCAGTAGCTCAACTAGTAATTCCTTTTTCCTTCCATCCTCTTCACCTCTCCACATGGCCTAGACTTCACCAAATTAGCAGTAATTCCCAAACACAATAGAGGAGTATTCTAAAATATCTTTTCAGGTCAGAAATCTCTATTCACTGGGTTGGCTGTATGTATATTTTCTAATCAGAGTATATAGTTTATAATTTCTACTAGAAATTGGTCTTAGTGGTCAAATTTTCTGTTTTTTTTCTCAATTTTCCTAGTTTATTCTTATGGACTGGCTTGTATCCCAATTCTTTCACTCTTCTTCACATTTCTCTTTTGGTTGTCCTGATATCTTTATTATTTGACAAGGTATTTCATTGTGTTGAGATGGCTCGTTTCCCCGTCGTGACCTGCTTCTGCGTCGGGAACGTTATACCCAATCAGCAGTACTCGATTAATGTATCATACATCCCCAATCTCCTCCCTTCATTGTGAATGCACAAGACTAGCCCCCTCCTCTGCCTAGCAAGTTCTCCAGGTAACCTTTACAGTTTTTACTCCCCACTCACCCTTCATTCATCGGGACCGGCTGCAGACCAGGCTATCGTTCGCTCGCTCTCCGTCTATTCATTCGCTCCGTCCGGACCAAACCCCAAAAAAAGACACGCACAGCAAACCGGGTTTCTTTTCTTTTTGCCCTCCCCCCCCTCCCCATCCACCCATCCATCATCCCTTTTCTTTTCTTAGCCTTCAGCGAAAAGGAGCAAGGTGGCACGTTTGGGCATGATGCCCCAACTCCCATAGCCCCGCACAGCTTTGTTTAACGTTTCACTTTTTTTTTTACAGTGCCTGCGCCTCGGCTTCCAAGTTTCTTTCGCTGCGGTGTTGCTGTATGCTTGCTTGGTGGCTTATTCGTTTGATTTCAGCCTCTCCTACCATCCCCCCAACTCCACTACTATACCCCTGCGAATGAACGCATTCAACTTGACTTACCTGCCCCCCTCGTGCCTCCGCTAGGCTGACTGTCGAACGAACCAAAGAGTTCCCATGCCATTCGTCTGTCCTTGTTAAGAGTCGAGATATCCCCCCCCGCCCTTGCTTCCTGTTATCTTCCTTCCCTTCTCTCCCTGTTCCCGTAGTCCTCTTCTGCAACAGCTCCCCTTTACGAAACCACGGGAATAGGAGGGGTATACAGTTTCCGTCGGGCCGTTGGTGGGGAGGATACTTCCCTCCCTCTCTCTTTCTTTTTCCGGTTTGTTTTCTCTGCTTTTTTTATTCTTCCCTGCGTCTCGTTATCCTACGTCAGTTAGGCCTACGCTGGAGGGGGGAAACGAAAGGGAGCGGGTGGTTAGAGATGAAGTTACAACGGTTTTCACGTGCTCTGGAGAAGCGGCAAGCTCGCCAGGAGGAGGACCCAAGCCCTCAAGGGAAGGCATTAATCGTGAGTTTTTGCGCTGGCGGCTTTGCTACAAGGCGATTCGATGAATGGCGGACTGATGGCTTACGTTCAAACGGGATAAGATTGCGGTTGTCTTCATTTCGTTTCTCTTCTTTGTCATAATCGCGTTTATTATCCTCCGATACATCCGACAAGCCCACCCTCTAGCACCAAAGTTTTTCTCCGAGAAATGGAAGAAGAGGTGGGCTACTTGGCAACCAGGCATATATGCTCCCGCAGCCTCTTCAGTTAGCCCAGCCCCGGAGCCAAGTGCGGCCGCCCGGCGAGAACGGGAGCGGAGGGAGAGAAGGGAGAGACGGAGAAGGGAACAGCAGCAGCAGCAAGCGTCAGGCGTGAACAGAGTAGAAAGCGTTCGGAGTATAATGACTCTACCAGAGTATAGGGCAGTGCCATTACCAGATCGGGAGAGAACAATAGGAAGGGAGGGGGAGCGTGGAGGAATCGATGTAGTGGTTGAAGCCCCAGAAACAGCCGAGGAGGAGGAAGAGCGACGGGAGGAGCACATGCGGGCTCTGTACGAGATCCGACTTGCCAGACAACTGGAGCGAGCAGCGGAGCGGGAGAGTGCGCAAAATGGCGGACGTGGCGGCAACGCTACCCGTGCCGCGGCTAGTTCCCGGAACAGAGGCAACAGTTCAGCAACTTCCCTTGCCGTGACGCTAGCAGCTGTGCAGGAACGGGAACGGCGTTTGAGCGAGGTCTCCTATGCAGAGGTCGGTGTCGCAAGGCCTGACGGATCCCGAGTCCGCGCGAGCTCTGATGTCTCCGACCGGGACAGTCTTCCCCTACTGGACGCTGGCGCACCGATGGGCATGGGGGATAGTATCCGCAGTGGCCGTAGCGGCCATATTCGAACCAGCAGCGCTCTCTCCCTCGCTAGCACCCTTGGCACCCCGGAGCGACGCCGTAGCGACGAGATCCTTAGCATGGGCAGCACTCGCCCGAGTCTGGATAATCGGGATAGCATTCGCGATAGCGTCCCTAGCGACCGGCCGCCCGGATATTCCGGTGAACTGGAGTGGGGTGCGCCACCAGAGTACCCTGGGATTGTTGAAGACGGTCGAGGGGATATGGGTGTCCCGGTATTCCGGGTTGAGACTGTCTCGCCGGATCCTTATAGACCCCCGCAGCAAACTCATTCTTAGCTCACCTCTCTTCTCCCTTTTGCAATCATGTGAATAAATTACCCTTTCATTTAGCGCCACTTGGTTACTTTCCTTCTTTCTCTTCTCTAAAGTGTTTGATATACAGTACGCCCCTCCTTTCACCCCTTTCCTTCGGCGTTCTTTTCTCGCATGCTCTTTCTGCACTATCACGCGGAGAAAAACTGTCGGAGGCGGCTTTTTCCCCTCCTTTTTTTCTCCTTTTATCATTTCTTCCTGGCTGGTTTGGTTGGTCTGGCTACGGTAGTTGGCTGGCCAGGACGTGGAACACTGGATAGAATAATGAGGAAAAGGAAAGACGAGGCATGTGTTGTATCCGTAAATACGGCAGCGAGCGTATGGATGATACAGTACGTACAGTATATCGTCGCGATATGGATTTATTTTGCGCGATTTTGTATCGGTGCAGCGAGCAGTAAAGTGACATATTAACAACCTCAGCGACGGTGTGCATCTATGGTCACTCAGCTCCTAAACGGCGCTTCCACCGAAAAAGTGTCCTTTGCAGGTGGATAACCACCCACACTGTAAGACGGCAAATTCCACCCAAAATATCACGACCCACTATCGCCGGAATTATTCCAACCAGTGTACTCTTTCACTCCCCGTTTAGATACTACTGCTAGGAGTTCGGGCTCCCCCCGCAAGAAACTGGCGGGAGCGGGGGGCATCGCCGAGTGACGACCAGTGACGACGGCTCAGGCCCCCGTTCGAGGCGCCCCACGGAATGGGTTGGTGATCTGCCCTGATATCCCCCTGTCACTACAAATCTTATGGCGCGAAAGCATATAAAACGTACCCCTAGGTGGGTGCGCCCATGTAATGCCTACATTTGAAGAGGGTTGAGGGTTATAAGTGCCCAAGGGGGTTTTCCAAGGATGAATGTTCAATTCTCTGCCAGATCAATTTTTCTTACAGTATTAAAAATACTGTTCTATAAGGGTGGGTGCCTTCAAAATGAGCATGTCATCCACCATCACTGCTCCATCTTCAGTATGTAGCTTCTGTTCGATCCAGGGGTTGATGATAGGATTACTCTTTCTTCCCTGCTTGTTCTTCGCTTAGCCTTATTACAGTCAGCAACCCTATCATCACCTTCAAGTTTGCCAGACAGCTGGGACAGCAGTTTGCAGTAGGAGAGAACTGCCAACAGGCCTCAGTTAATCACCCAATATGCTAGCTTCTCAGAGACTCAGAGGCAACCTAGTCAAACATGTATATGATTACTGATAAATGATGTGTATGGCAATTAGGTCTAGCCCTCTGCCTTCCCAGCCGTGCCCGTATCAGCTGGTACTCTATTACCTCAAACCCCTCCAGCTAGCACCTTACTGCCTCAATCCTCTCACTACATCTCTTGTCTATAGCTACCTCCTACCATAGTACAGATTACTTCCTACTAAAATACTTGGGTTTTTGTGTTCCTGCCTGTTAAGGCATCTTTAGTGACTTCATTTGATATAGTGTTCTATGGGTGTGATGTCTTAGTTAGCTTTTCAGGCTACTTTCTTCTTGCTTCTTAGAGTTTCCTTGTTCATCTCCTTGGTCAGGCTGGGGATCCTTTTCTTCAGGACAAGATATATAGTTATCTCTATACAAGAAGGAGCTTGATATGCTGGTTTTTTTTCCAGATAGCAGGAGGAGTATTTGTAAAATTAAGGCTTTATTTTTATAAAGAATAATAGGTTTTTTTCTGATTATAGGAGATACCATAGTTATAAGACTTTTTAAACCCAAAAATTGTAAAACTAGAATTTAGATATCTCAACCATGTGTCATTTAAATAATTTAGACTTTCAAAAGAATTTAATTAGACCTTTACACAAAAACTTTATGGAAAAAGAAAAATTAGCAACTGGCTTCATTTTAGGGTCTAGTACTGCTATAATGAAAAATTTATAGAAAGTATAGAACATGTACGGAAAATGCCAGCCAAGATCTGAAGACAAGCCAATTTGAATACTTAGTCAATTCCTAGAGTTTTGGGCTGAGATTAATAGTATTTATTTTAGGTCATTGCTTTAAACTATTGATCTCAAACTACTCTTATATCATATATAAAATTAATAAAGAACTATCAATGAAATAACTATTCAACACTGAAGCTGAATAGTAATTTCAAGTGAGGTGCTATATAGAAGCTATGCTGTCACAGCTACTAGAGTTGGGTTAGCACAGTTGCCACACAGGGGTTTCATTTGTACGAGATAGATCAGATATCATATAGGATTAGCAATTAGCTGGTATGATAGAAAGTAATAGGATCTGAGGAACAGGTCAAGGCTCTACGTGACTTGTAGAGAATTCATCAGCAAAAATATCACTCATGTTGGACACCTGGGTGCTGTGTCCTGACGCACCTGTGCTTTCTTTTCTGTCCTGTATATTCAGTATGTCTTGGGATTGAGCTTGACACCTGTTATAGTTACCTGGTAATGGAACAGGAACAGGCATTGAGTTTTTTTTGGTTACATTTATTGGATGTAGTCTTATTTGCTACAATGTAGGGTTTTATTTGTATTATGATTGAGATATGTTGCCATATGACAGAGCTTGGTAGAACCTGATAGAAGGATCGCAGCTGCGCACGATACCAAGGACTTTCTTTTCTATTAGTAATCAAGGAGGATTTCCATTGTATATATGGGGGTGTGCCCCCTTATATTTTACTTTCTTTACGTAATCTGGTAATTTTCTTCGGAGACCCTTTCTTTCATACTGTACAGTGACAATGAAGCCTTTCTTCAGATACTTGTAGGAGAGTCGTCTGAGTTCGCCTCGTAGTCCTGCTGGTTGAAGTTGATGTTGGTCCAGTTGTTGTTTGGTGTTTCTTTGGTTGTGGTACCTGTCTCACCTCTCCTTTGCTTGTTTCTATAGTGAGGCTGTGTGGGCTGGGGGGCCTTCTTTTCTGCTTGATGCATCTTCTCTTTAGTAAAATATTTTGGCTTTCCTGTACTTGTTTGCTGGCAGGATTTCACGTTCATTGAATTAGTTGGGAGTGCTCGATGGGTGGGAATCACCCTATTGCTAAGAGGATTGGGCGCCTCTATTCTTTGTGTTAAAGTTTTAAGGCCCACACTTTGGTTGTTTCACGCATTGTTTCCCGAGACACTAATGCCTACAGAGTTGACTGATAACTGCTCTATACCTTTAACTCATCATATCCATCCCATCACACTTTTATGGTCGGGTCCTACCTCTTCTTATGGGTTGGGATACCTGGGTGTCGGCTACATCCTGCGATCGGAATCCTGAGATGTTGTTTCCTCCCGTTCTCGTGATGTTTTGCATTCATGTAGCTGCTAAGGGTGGTTGTAGGATCTACTCTCCTGCCTGATGTGGGTGGGGATATTTCTGACCCTGAACAATTAGCCTCCTCTCTTGACTTCTATGGTTGGGAGCATGGTGGTGGTGGACGATTGGCCGCTGGGCTCCCTCGTGTCAGGGCCTTAGCAATAGCTGTGTTGGGCATTGACGGTCTTGGTGATCACATCCATTTCAAGTGTGGTATTCCTTGGCTCACTTAGCCTGGCTTGTACTTACTCTCAGCGGTCGCGGCTGTTCTCAGGCTTGTTGTCATGATTGTTCTGTTCTGAGCCTGTCTCCTTTGGCCTGGATCTTCTATGCCTAACTGTAACGGGGGCTCCCTCAGGTAGATGGTTCCTAAGGATGCGACCGCACCAAACTTCGAATCTCTCGAACACAGCTCTTGCAAAAGTGTAAAGAATAAAAGTAAACGGTAAAACTTAATATCGTTAAGCTCAGGCTTATCTCAATTAAAGTCTCTCAAGAGGATGTTGATTGTCGGGGTAGGAGAGTTCTCGTATAATCTTTAAGTAGTCAGACTTATACCAAAAACTCCCCCATCAGGTTACCCCGACCAACGTGAGTATGCCCTTCTCCGTAAGGGTTGCCCCGGCACCATTACCGTGTCCCTGAAGGGCTATAGGTGTCAGCGCACTCTAGCAGAAATCTCCCATATGCACATCAGTTCCTGCGAGGTGTTTACCAATACACCTGCCGGAGTGAAAACCTCTGCACATCGGTATCTCGTCAGTGGCTAACTGTCGAGACCCTTGGGAAAGCTAACTAAATGACTCTCTACCCGTATGCTATGACCTATGGAAGCACTTGTAGACATCAGCTGTCTTCCGGCTAAGTTCTATCTTTCTTGATTGCGAACTTAGGGGGTCTACGACGCTCCCTCGGAGAGCTGTGTCGGCGGCGAGACCCATAGGCGCTACCCATGGTCCCTTACCCCCGGCACACCACTCACCGTGATAAGTGTCATGCTATTAGAGTCTTCAAACAACCCACAAAGAGCCTACGGCAAAGGGGCACGTGTAGGCATGATTGGCGTAAAACCTTCCCAGATGTCTCCGGCACTACCCGGGACTACTCAGGGGACCCTTCCGGATAGCTTACGCTAACTCCGTCAGTTTTGGTCCGTTTTACTCCGTTCCTTTTGGAGAAGGTACCTGACCTTCTCACCTTGGCCCCCTTATATATCCTGCGAACAGCCTCCGGTCGGACGGACGGGGACGACGCATACAGTGTTATGGACATGTCTTCATAGATTCCATTTAACTAGCATAATGGCAACTCCACCCATTTTGGCCCATGACGCCCGGGGCGAACCCTGGGGCCGCAGGTACCTGTTAGGAATAATTCTACCAAGTTACTGCTTGTTCGGAGCACTCTAGCTCCTCCTGTAGTCTTCCAATCAAAGTGAAATCAAGTGCCCGTCGATCGTCATTGCGTAACAAACAATCCTAACATTTTCCGAAATTCCTCCGAGAACAATTCCGATGGAAGGTAGGGTAATAGTGTCCCAAAGGTAGGGTAAGCATGTCCATGGTGACACGAAACCAGTCTCCATGGTAGGGTAACGTGACCTCCTTAGGCAGGGTAAACTTACCCGGCCTTCTGTCCTATCCATAGGCTAGAACGGACATTGTCACATTATAACTACTACTTAGGTA